GAAACAATTTAATTGGATTTCATCCCTTCAGGGAGCTCAGGCTGGAGCCATCCCAAAGTGGATGGATTATATTGGGAATGATTCGGGGAAGAAGATGCAGAAGAAAGATCTTCTGGCCGGCCTTAACTTGTTGTTTTGAATTGTTCAGTTGTTTTTTTTTATGCAGATTTACCTGTTTGGTAACAGATTCTGGCTATTCTGTTCAAGTGGTCTGCCTGAAAAACAGGTGATATCCGCCCCCCCCGAGGCCTTATGGGGGTTTATAGTCTGAACCATGCCTGTTTTTTACCCATAATCCCGTCTGCTGTGGAATCCCATAGGCTACGTCAGCTCTTCCAGTTTTCAAACGAAAATGATTTCCATCCACAATCTTTTTCACATCTTTTACAAAAGTGTTTCCATACTCTCTGAAATGAGCAGAAGCATATATGATGTAGCTATTGTCATACATGGGCATGCACACATCGACACAGTGACTGGTAAATTTGTTTCTTTTGTGCAGATTTTGTGCAGCAGTCACACTGTGCACTACGCTATTTAATAGGGGTGTGAAAATATATCAATTTTATGATTAATCGCGATCCTGGTTTTGGTGATTCAATGTCGATTCACAAAATCCCAAGATTGATCTAGTTAATTTATGCCGTTCCCTGTGACTTTGAAAATTTATAGCACAAAATAAGTAACACAAAATGAAAGCAAATGATGCAAAGAGAAAACAGATATTATTGGATGTGACCTGCTTTCAGTTACAAGAATCTGTTTTTTCTTTTTTTTCAAATGTCATGGGTAACATTACAGCAGATCTGGTTTGATTGCACATTAATCAATGTGTCTTAAACATAGTTTGACTAGATTCGAGATGGAATCCAACTGGGCACTTGTGAATTGAATTGTGAGGTCAGGGCCGATTCCCAGCCCTAAACAATACCATAAAGATTCTAATTTATGTTTTGGCACATATCTTTAAGTTAAATTCCTTCTGAAACAAAGCAGCTATTCTTTTCAATAACCTTTTTTTCCTTTTTTGTGCTTTGAAAGAGAGAGGTTGGTTTTATTTTTTTAAAGAACCGTACCCTATGTTCCTCAAATAAAAAGATTTTGATATACAAGCTTTTAGACTTTCTTTAATCATTTTAACAATTTGTTTCCAGTGACTCTGCATTTGTAAATATGTGTTCCATTTAGAGCTTTTTAAACATATTTTCGAATATGGAAAGCTGCTGTACAGTATTTAATATCTCTATTTCTATCATATTCATATTTCTGCCGTATTCATATTTCTATCGGATTCATGTCGAATTGGAATCAAATCTAATTGAATCAAATTGTTAGTTTGTGAATCGGAATCGAATCGAATCGAGGCAATACCCAGCCCTACTATCTAGCTGTGTACAGGACAGCAACAGGGAACATGCCTTTGAAAGCAGCTCTTCCATATCCGCCATGTTGGAATACTGCTTACTTCTACTGTATGTAGGGTGATTAGGTGACCAGGCAGACAATGAGAGGTCGTAACTAGTTGGATCAAAACCGGGATGGAGTCTGCATTTTCAAAAGTCTCAGTTTTCACTCATCCACACCTCAGTGCTAAAACGGAGCTTTCAGAAGTATACGGCTATGAAAGCATCATGAAAAACAGAGAAAAACAGAGAACAGGAGAAAACAGAGACCAAAGTCTGCTTTTTAAATAAAAGCCTAGCCTTACTCGTGAGTGTATATTGGGCGAATAGCCCTCAGTGGTCCCCAGGGCAATCAGTCGGCATGGTAACAATCAGGGCCGCCCGATACATCGTTTCAGAGTCTTCATCATGACAGGTGCATGCACACTAATCACATTGGTCGGCACTGCTTTGTGTCTGTTGACAGAACTCGCAGCGACAGCCCCAATTTATTTGACACACTCTTTGGGTAGATAATAAGTTCTATTTGGCTACAGTTTATTTTGGATAATTTCATCTCCTTTTATGATCTATAAATATCTCAATATTACTCGGGGATATTTCAACTTTTGAGATGTGATATGGTGCAGCCCAATCAACAATGCTGGGCAAGGCGTGGCACATAGTTCAGTCTCTTATATCCTTTCATCTTGCCCTTGACGGTTCTTCTATCATCCACCCAAATGCTCCATCACCCAAATCACAGCACATGCTGTAAAAGCTCCACCCTAAAATTCAATCTGCTGATCTTTCTTAGGGGTGAGATCATCCACTTATCCAATGCTTTGCCATCCCCCCCCCCCCAAACAACTTCTATCCTTGCCTAGGGCTGGGCAGTATATCAGATTTTTACAGTACATCAATATCTTCTCAAAATGAGATATAGGATGACACAATAACTGTTATATCAATATACTTTTATTGTGCATTGAAGTTAGGCCTTTATTAAAGATTTTAAATAGAAACCAATAGTGTCCCTTCCTGATTGTAAACTATGCGGGAGGTTCGGTCATGACATTGCACAGAATCCCAAAATCCTCAGCTAAAATCAGACCAAGGAAGTTAGCGTCTCACGGGAAATTGATGTAGGAGAAAGGCGACGAATCATTGTTACTCAGTTAATTGTGTTTTAAAACATTGACAAATGGCTCACAGGTTAAAAATACCGTAATTTGCAATGTTTGTTTTGTTTTGTTGAAGTGTAATAACTTAAAACGAGGGTCTTTCCGGTTATTAAGTGCACTTTCTCTGGTTGACAGGCTTCTGTTTTAGAGCCATTTGCCAAATAGGTTTTAGATTGTAGTTTTCATACATTCACCTTCTGTTTTAAGAGCGATGTCATAAATCGATTTCAAAAAATGCTGTTGGTAGACATAGTGGTGTGAAAGGATGTTATATTGAGGCTGCTTTAATGGCGTCATGCAACACGGATACAGGCATTATTTATTTTTGTCTTCTGTTTGGAATGTCGACACGGAGTAGTTGATGTATATTGGTAAACAGGGAATGAAGCCCTGTATTTGCATTGATTTATGTTTTGTGACATACACTGCTTCAGTAAAAGTGCTCAGGACATCTCACATGTGGCTTTGACTTCAAATTAAACATTTATCCCACTTCATAGAAAATGTCCAGCATACCCTCCGTCAGATTCGTTCTGGTGCCGGCGCTGCTCATAACTTTTTTTCTTCTTTGTTGATGCGATCTTGCCGTTTTAAAGATTGGTGCAGGCAGAGAGCTCCTAATCTTTCTGAGCCAAGCGGAAGCCTGCGAGATCTGCTCTAGGCGTGACGGGTGAAGGCCAGTGGGTGACACGGGCATGGGGGGACGGAGGGGGGACTTTATTTGGGATGTGAGAGGAAAGAGGCTTTAATGAAATGGGTGGAAGCATCAATGGCAGAATTAAGGTAATCAAAATGGGAATTGAGGAAGGTCTGTAACAGGCTGAGGGATTGGGAATCACGGTCTGCTTGCATTTCCACTCTTGTAAGGAATCGTAGAGGAAAAAAATACGTTATGTGTTATGAGACCGATAATAAGTCAACGTGAAAGAATATGCTTATCAGCTTTGGGCCTCATAACAGCTCTTAGACTTTAATATGTTCATGCTGACCTTAACAGTAGAGGTTTGTGAATCTTACGGGGTGGGGGGTAAGGTGAGGGGGCACTATGAGAGAAACACAATAGGATGGTAATTTACAGCTGATCTGAAGGTCCAGCAGCAGGAGTGGAGTATTATAAAGCACTGGTACTTTCCCTTTGATGCCAAACATTCAATTATCTCCCACTTAAGTGGATAACTGCAGTTCTTGGAGTTTTTTTTCTGTTTCCAGTGGAGCCGTACGCTTCAAAAAGGAGGATGAGGTAAAGTAGGGGTATTTATGTTTGGGGGGGGGGCTTGTGAGGGCTGAGAGCAAAGCGCTAGTCACATTCCGGGAGTCTCCGTGCTCTACGTCGGCGGCTCCTGCCCCCCCAGCTACACGAGGCTCCGTCGCCGTGGCGTGCCGTCCGCTCGCAGCGTGACTGACCAGGGCATTGCGTCACGAGTCCGTAAATATTTGCAATGTGTTGCGTTTCGCCGCGTCCCATGTTTACCAAAGACGGGCCAGGATCCGGATGCGGGCTCCTCCAGCTCTTGGCCGCCTCTCGCTCACGTCCTTCATGGATGGACGTTCAGTGACCCCGTTTAGGGAAGCTTGGGGCCAAACTCTATGTGCGTGCGAGGCATCGGCCGGCGGCCAGAGTGTGTCCGGTGGTTCCCTCACCAAGGGGAACAACTTGGTAGGTCTCTGGCTTGACATCTCTCTTCTACCGGGTCATTCCGGAGAGATGGCACAGGTGCTGGAGGGGCGAAGCACACCCCCTCTATACCCCCTGCTCCGCCCAAAATGAATTTCTCAGTCCGTGATGGTACAACGCTGTCGAACATGGCCTGCAGCCTCCCTTCTTCCCTCAGCACGAGGCTGGGCTCTCCCTCCTTGTCAATCACTCACTCTGTCTCAACCGACAAGATTACCGTGGCCTATATGAGAAGAACCATGGAATAAAAAGAAATGACAAAACCAGAACAGTCGACAGAGTCCACATTTGCTTGTAGGATACACTAAAGTTAGCTGTAGGTACCGTGGTGCACATACTAACTGATAACAATCTTTTCCTGCTTCTCTCTCTCACTTGATTGGATTATAGACTTTTGTATGGATGGGTCTCAATTTCTTGTGTGATCAACATCGAAGTTCTTCACATGTTGGAAAGGCTTTTGGAGGGAAATGAACATTTTGACACAGTAACAGATGACCCATGTTCTCCCGTATAAGTGACTTTATTGCCGTGTCCATCCCTGCACTGTGGATTGGGGGGGGGGGGGGGGGG